AAAGGTACAGACGTGAAATAATATCATTAAATCAGAGGGGTCAGTGCGCTATATGAAAAGTGGAAATGGGAAAAAATGGAAAGTTTTTTTCAAACTTGAAACTTGCAGTCCATGGTGTTTCAACTTCGAAATGTCAAATGATAGCGGTAGATAGCGGGGGACACTAACCTCAAACATTTTCTTAATATAAGTAATACAAGGGTACCGGCCCGAATACAACAAACGAGAAGTATATTGCACTAGGCCAATCATAGTTTATCTTATCAGTCTTAAATCACCACAGAGAAATATCATCCTTCATTTTACGATGAGTGTGTGTAGTTTGTGATAATTGTGCGTGTACAGTCAACTTTCAGTTTCAGCGTAAGCTCTAAGGTGTTAAGGTCAAAGACAGAAACGCTTGCAAATTTGTTGGACCTAAAGCATCCAAATCATTCCACTATAGGTATTTCTTTTTCTTATATTTCTCAAATGCTGAATAGAAGTGACAGAGAAAATGTTTATAAATTTTAATCACTTATGTTGATTAAACAAAATCATTTGAAGTGTAATTGCAGCACCCAAGAGACAGATCTACTTGTACGGTAGGAGTCCATATCACTTAAAGATATATGCATGCAATGCATTGATATTTAATTGGCTCTGTGTTTTCAAGAAGAAACTCGATTCCAGTTAACACCAGAGACACCGAGAACTTTGGTATTTCACTAAGTACTTCTTTATCTTGATGGTTCGTCGATGTTCTAACTTTTTTATGAGCACGTTTCAACTCAAATCAGATACACATCCTTATTTGGTCTCTATGTTCATTTTAAATTGGTCCTTTAACACATTCTCACTTTGTCTTTATACGCGTTCTAACTCTGTCTACACGGTCTAACTTTGTTTATGTACACATTTTCACAATGTCTATCTACTCGTTCTACTTTGCCTATATACAAGTTCCAAGTCTGCCTATATACGCGTTGTTACTTTGTCTATGTACACGTTTTAACGTTGTTTATGTACACGTTCTATCTTCGTTTATATCGAGTTCTACCTTTCTCTATCTTCACGTTCTAACTTTGTCTATATACAAATTCTAAGTCTGTCTATCTACGCGTTACTTTTTCTGTCTACATATTCTAATTTTGTGTATCTACATGTTCTAACTTTGTCTATATACGATCGCACATTGCCTAGGTGCACGTTCTAAATTTGTCTATTTACAAATCCTCGCTTTGTCTATCTACACGTTCTAACTTTGTGTACGTTGTAACTTGTTTATGTACAAGTTCTCACTTTGTCTATATATACTTAGAACTTTTTCTATATACCTGTTGTAACTTTGTCTAACTATACGTTGTAACTTTGTCTAACTATACGTTGTAACTTTGTCTAACTATACGTCCTGATGATGTTTACGTATACGTACTCATCTTGCCTACATACACATTCTACTTTTGTCTATATATACACCTTTTACACGTTCCCTCTTTGTCCACCTATACATTTTAACTTTGTCTATCTACACGTTCTATCTTGGTGATCTACACTTCCTGACTTCCTTACTTTGTCTATATTCACGTTCTATCTTTGTTGATGTACACATCAAAACTTCCTTACTTTGTCTATATTCACGTTCTGTCTTTGTTGAGGTACACTTCCTGACTTCCATACTTTGTCTATATTCACGTTCTGTCTTTGTTGATGTACACTTCAATACTTCCTTACTTTGTCTATATTCACGTTTTATCTTGGTGATCTACACTTCCTGACTTCCATACTTTGTCTATATTCACGTTCTATCTTTGTTGATGTTCACATCCATACTTCCTTACTTCGTCTATATTCACGTTCTGTCTTTGTTGATGTACACTTCCTGACTTCCATACTTTGTCTATATTCACGTTCTGTCTTTGTTGATGTACACTTTCTGACTTCCTTACTTCGTCTATATTCACGTTCTGTCTTTGTTGATGTACACTTCCTGACTTCCATACTTTGTCTATATTCACGTTCTGTCTTTGTTGATGTACACTTCCTGACTTCCATACTTTGTCTTTATTCACGTTCTGTCTTTGTTGATGTACACTTCCTGACTTCCATACTTTGTCTATATTCACGTTCTGTCTTTGTTGATGTACACTTCCTGACTTCCATACTTTGTCTGTATTCACGTTCTGTCTTTGTTGATGTACACTTCCAGACTTCCATACTTTGTCTATATTCACGTTCTGTCTTTGTTGATGTACACTTCCTGACTTCCATACTTTGTTTATATTCACGTTCTGTCTTTGTTGATGTACAATTCCTGACTTCCATACTTTGTCTGTATTCACGTTCTGTCTTTGTTGATGTACACTTCCTGACTTCCATACTTTGTCTATATTCACGTTCTATCTCTGTTGATGTACACGTTACAATATTAACGTGATCTATATAAATGTTCTAATTTCGTCTATCTACACGTTTTCATTTAGTCTATACACAATCTCTTACTTTGTCTAAATACATGTTCTAACTTTGTTGATGTACACGTTACAATATTAATGTGATCTATATAAATGTTCTAACTTCGTCTATCTACACGTTCTAACTTTGTTCATCTACACGTTTTCATTTAGTCTATACACAGTCTCTTACTTTGTCTATATACATGTTCTAACTTTGTCTATGTACAATTTCTAACTTTGTGTATGCACAGGTCTAACTTTTCCTATGTGCACGTTTGAACTTTGTCTATCTACACGTTCTAACTTTGTCTATATACACGTCCTAACCTTGTCTATATACACGTTCTAACTTTGTCTATATACACGTTCTAACTTTGTCTATATACACGTTCTAACTTTGTCTATATACACGTTCTAACTTTGTCTATCTACGACTGAGAATTTCATATTGTTTTGTCGTAATTATCATCATTTTTTTCTTTCGTCATAAATTTGCCCTTAGATAATAGACTTTCGTGCCATTCTAACGTTTCTCCTTCCGTACTGCTTCCCTTTTGAATCCATCACAATCCTTTGAGTTTAGTTTAATGTACTGTTGCTGCTATTTATGATATCATGTAACAACAGTTTCTAGATTGTCCAGCGGAGGGAACCTCAGTCCTACATGTACAATATCTAATGTTATATGTCGAAATTCATGAATTTTGAGAGGAATCGAACCCTGCACCTTGATCCACGGTGTGAGGTTCGATTCATGCTCGGGAATTGTAGGTCTTAATTACGACCTATCCAACGCTATTGTGGCTGTGTCCTTGAGCAATGCATACTAGTCCAATTAATAAGGAGGGATAAAAATGCAAAACGAGTCTTTTTCTATACAATTAATATCACTAATAATATCTCATCCTCTTACTAGCATATATCTGACAGTAACATCACAGAGAGAGATATCTTCTCACTACATAGAGATCTTGATCGCCTAGTCCTCATGGGGACAGAATGGAAAGTAGCTTTCCATCATGGAAAACACATACTCCCTCAGTTACTAAGAATAGACAACCCATTTGCCATTCCCATATGCTCTATGAACACGAGTTGGTGCATGTGACTTGACAGAGGCCACATATCTTAAGTGTCACAATCATCTCTGAATTAAAGAGGTATTACCGTATAACGACATCACTCAAATAGCCAATCCCACCCAAGGCTTCCTCGTGGATTGTTTTCCCGTTTTTAATCCGTAAACAAATTTATATCAATAAAGTAGAGATATAATTTCTATCGTAAGACCTCCAACTAGCGTTGGTAACATGTAAGATGATCGCAGATAAGACACAGGGGGATGGCCCTACTATATGAAATCCATCACAAAAAACGCCATCATTACAAAGCACCTGACCCCCATATATTAGAACAACCCCCACCCCACTTCTGAAATTAGCATTTCTGACTCTTTGCGATTTCTATCTTTCTATTCAGTTATCTCCATTCATCAGCGCTGCCCCACCCACCTTCCTCATCTCTCTTTATGTCCGAACCGTTATATCAACCTCTTTGGATGGCTTTCTCAATCCTCAGTCTCATTTGAAATTAAAAAAATCAAGCTGTGATTATATTCAGCATAGTTGAATTGTAATGTTCAAATCAAAATACAACAGTTACATATCACTAGTTTAAACAGGAACGTACGTCCCTGGTATAATATGGAGGGACATAAAAACTGGGTCCATTGGTGACCTCTCTCCCGTTAGCTTTTCTGTTTGTGCGCCGAGTCGTGAAATTCCCTTTTCTTTTTGTTGACATATGAACCCAGCCATCTACCTTAGTCCCATTCCTTGGCCAGTGAGAAGCGAATCTTATTTTCGTAACAAAAATAGCATCTATTGATTACAGTGCCTTATAAAAAAACTGACATGAGCCGAATGGAACATTACTCAAGTTTTTAAATGGTATTCGAACAAAGAAGACGATAGTTTTGTTTGAAAGTGCTATACAAAGTAGGGTGGTATTTCAGTGGTAAATATCTCATACATTTTGTTTTATAAATATCAAAAGTTAAAAGAAATGATTTATTACATGAAATATGCACGGTCAATTTGAAAATTAACAGACTCTTTGCTTTTTTTTTATCTTGAAAAGATTAATTATGTACTTTTGGAGAAAAATGGTTTTGAACATCTTCGCTGTAGCGTTGAAAGGATACAAACAGCTTCTTATCCCCATGTATTGTTGGGTTAACGTTATACAGCCTGCTGATTAAGAAAAACCCTTCCAAGACTATTGTTTCTGTTTTTCTGTTTTCTATGTTTGTCAACACCATCGTTCTTGTCAATTAGCAGCGTGTAACATGTTAGGCGGTGATCGCGGATGCCCACAACTACGTATACTTAATCACGCTGTAGCCTGCGCATGCGTGGTATCCTTTGCAGCGGAGCCTTTACATTACAGTGAGCACAGACGATCGTATAGTAAAAATCGATATAAATTAAATCGGAGACTTTCTATATAAAAAGACGCAGACATTGTTCAGAGGAAGTATTTCAATCAATTTTCAGGAGGATGAGTGCGTCAACGTGTGAACATGACAGAAACATGGAGACATCAACGTTCTTGTCGGAAAAAGAGGTACGTTGATCCAACTAAATAATATATGTTTCTATCAAGACCTCCAACGAAGTCTTTGTCTGATAACAGGCTTTCTGGGCTTGATTACTCAACACGTATCAGAAAATATGTAACAATGCCTATTAAGATATATTATAAACCAAAAAATCATACGTTAACGTGTTAGAAAAACATCCTTTCAAAATTTATCATTTAGATGCGTACAATTTCACACGTGTATAGGAAGGAAGGATAGAGCTACAATTGGACGCGGGGGAAGGGAAAAGATGTACTGTCACCATTTCAGTTATTGTACATACTTGTAAATCAGTAATATAACGAACCCACCAACACCATTGTTCTGATTGCAAGCAGGACTGAAATTTAAATATTCAAGTAAACCTATACGTAGCGGCTGTTTTCTAATAGGTTTGTAATTACAACATCCATTTAACTTTATTTTCGGCTATACATTATATGAATACATAGTTTAGGGTCTGACTATATGAACGTTTTGTATAACATTGTAATAAACACATTTCTGGTTTTCATTATAACTCCTGGTATGACATATAAATGACATTGTATGACTACATGTATATAATTAAATACATGTCTGGTAAGACATTGTATGACAGCATGGACATGCATGTACTAAGTACAATTCTTTTATGACATTGTATGACTGCATGTACATGTATATAATTAAATACATGTCTGGTAAGGCATTGTATGACTACATGTACATGTATGTATTAAATACAATAATTTTATGACATTGTATGACATTGTATGACTACATGTACATGTATGTACTAAATACAATACTTTTATGACATTGTATGACATTGTATGACTACATGTACATGTATGTACTAAATACAATTCTTTTATGACATTGTATGACTGCATGTACATGTATGTACTAAATACAACTTTTTATGACATTATAATTCTGCTATGACACTGGATGACACTAAGGATATCTCTAGAGTGACATCGTAAAAAATTATATATATTTGATAAATCTTGGATATAACATTGTATGATTAAATACATGTACTTACTATAACTTTGATATGGCATATTGTACATATGTGTGTGTATACATATATATATATATATATATTTGGTTTTGAATGTCTTGTTTTTGAACAGTCTTAGAGAACTAACAGCATACTATTTCTTAAAAATGGACACTCAAATGGTTGATATATATATAAATTTTCAGCCTGTGAAACCCTATGACCTTCAACTCCAATTACCTCCACAGAATCTCCTATCAACACATATACACTCCACTGGCTTATTCAGTCATGAGACAAAGGTGGGATCGGTTATTTAATTGGTGTTGGACACCTTGCATTTATAACAGTATACATCAAGTAGAGTGTTCACACAGACACAGCAGACATGTTATATTTTATAGAGCAGTGATTTAGCCGTTCAGCAGTTATCAGTGCATGTGTTGCAGCAGTGCACAACAGAAAGTGAAGTGGTAATATCTAAAAATAGAACCAATTATTAAACTCTGTTGTCAAGACTACATAAAACTCAGTATTACCTGTACTCCACAGAAGCTGAATGTGAAAGGTTTATTGGTCCCAATAATGCTTCTTTTCACAGAAGTTTACACAGTCAAAAGGTGTTTTTTAAATTGGGAAATGATCAGTAGTTTGCATTGATCAGAGGTGCATGTCAGTTGTGGTTAATGGAACTTCATTTAGTACTGCTGGTTTGTATGTGTCAGCATTAGGGGAGATTCATTTGTGATGTAGGATCTGGAGATTAAAATACCAAATTCTATACAAAAATCATGTAGTGACAAAAAGTTGTTTTAATCATTATAATATAATATGCTGATGCCTGTCATGCATTAATTTTTTTTTTCAATTAATAAAAAATGAGATTTTTATAATGACTTTAAGATATAGATAGTATCAGACAGTAGTAACAATATTTTAAGTGTGTATTTTGGTCACATCTCAAGCGAGTCACATTAGATTGTCATAAGGTACTGTTCTTAAATTGAAAACACATTGATAGAAGTGCTGTCTTATTTAAGACTACTGGTTTAAAGAAGAAGATGAGAAGGTTGACTATTGAAAGCTTAAAGTGTTAGTCATGTGATGCCAATCCAGTCAAAGCACAACAAGGGTTTCAAAATCATGGTACATTCTTAAATGTAGGGTCACGCAGCCTTCAGGCCAGGCTCAGCAGTGGATAATATCTTGCTAATGACTAACATTTTGATTATCAAATAATAATGCGTAGATTTGAAGAGATGTCATATTTTTTATCTTCGCATTCACAAACACAATTTGATGTCATAATGTGGAAATCCAAGTGACAGAGAAGATTTTCTTTCACTGGAAGTCTGTTACTTTTAAGGAAATCATCCAGTAGGATAATGGTTCAGTTGATGTTGTCAATGTTTTGTCAGACCATGTGTTTTTAGACGACTGTATATACATTATGCAGGTAATTTTTCTCAGCACATAAAACAGCAGCGTTATGGTTGAACACCTACGTATTGCGATATTCCGTGAATATGTACGCCATTGTTACTAAACAATGCACATCGGTATCTTTTTATACAGAACAAAAACATGCTACCTACTTCCTTCATTGGAAAATGAAGTAATCAATTTAACAAGAATCGTTGAATTGGAATGTAAATATGTAAATATTATGACATAAAAGTCACATAAGAAACTTGTTTTGATAGTTCATGTTGTTGTCTGGTCACTTACAATGTGATTACTGAAGTTTACAGATCAGGTAAAACTATCCATACATACTTTAATTCGCGATGGAATTTTTTTAATAATGGTTCCCCATTCATCTCTAATCAATGATAATATCTATATATATATATATTTTATCACAGATTATGTTATGTGAGAAAGCATTAAAGGATGTGACGCACAGCTGTAAGGGTAATTTCAATGAGTTAGGGTAATTACATATTTTATGGATACATGCAGACTATCAAAACCATTCACAGGAATATCTATATTTCATAGATTTCATATGAGATGCAATTAAATCCTTACATTGAAATACATCTTTTGTATAAAAGAAAAATTTCAAATATTTTTTAGTTCCATAAAATGTACAATTTAATACACAAAATTTCTACAGAACATTTTACAGTTTTACAGTGGGAGGCTTTAAACACAGTATTACATAATTACTACAGAAATGAGTTAGGGTGTGTGAGATGGTGTCACTATGTGTATGAAATATGGTGTTGCTGTGTGTGCGAGAGATTATGTATGTGAAAAAGGCTGTGTGAGATGGTGTTACTTTGAGACTATGTGTGTGTGAAAAAGGCTGTGTGAGATGGTGTAACTATGTATGAGACTATGTGTGTGTGAAAAAGGCTGTGTGAGATGATGTCTCTATAAGGTGAGATTATGTGTGTGTGAAAAAGGCTGTGTGAGATGGTGTCTCTATAAGGTGAGATTATGTGTGTGTGAGATGGTGTCTCTATAAGGTGAGATTGTGTGTGTGTGAAAAAGGCTGTGTGAGATGGTGTCACTTTTTGCGAGAGATTAAGTGTGTGAAAAACACTGTGTGAGATGGTGTTCCTTTGTGTGAGATTAGGTGTGTGTGGAAAAGTCTGTGTGAAATAGTGTCTCTTTGTGTCAGAGATTATATGTGTGTATTAAAAAAGACTGTGTCTGGTGTCTATGTATAAGGTGAGATTATGAGTGTGTGAAAATTTCTGTGTGAGATGGTATACATTTGTTTGTTTGGGATGTTGTGTTTTCATGATCACCAAAGCAAGGGTCATCTACAGATGGTGTCAGTAAGCTATGGAACTGATCAAGGGCCACTTAATAACCCAAAGTGAAACATCATAAAAATGGCTTGGAGAAATGACTCTTGGTGATCATGAGTCACATAATTATACTAATCAGTCTCTAACATTGCTGACGTGAGTGTGAATCAAAGGACAGCATGATTCAAATAGATTTGTACTTCGCCTTGTCACAGTCTGCAGACATAACCCACAACTTTTATTGAGTAAAAATATCAATATGAAGGCCAGAAGTGGAAGCATTGTCAGGAAAGGCCTAGGGAAATTAGTTGTTAGGAAAAAGGACAGAGATTAAAACCCAAATATTGACAAAGGTACATTGATTGACTCAAGATACTTAAAACCTTCTATGTACTAGCAAAATCTCGTCTGAGTCACCCCTAACAGTGTTGTGTTGTTAATAAAGTGAAGGTTTTCTTTATCAACCCAGTACTGGTGACAACTGGTGTTAAAAATGAATGTTCTTTGGTATTTCTAAATTAACAAAGACACTTTTGGAATCTTAGCCATAACCTCACTATAATTTGATCAATTAAAAGACCATTGTAGCAATTAAGTGAAAGAGAACCTGGAACCCAGAAATCCTACCAAAAGATTTCTAACATCTGATCTGACTTACCTTGCCAAATTTCATTGTGTTGTATTTTGCATGATAAGAAATATACTAAATATTTGTACATATTTATTCAACTACAGCGTAAATGTTATTTGGAAAAGCATCTGACCAGCCTCCATTGTAGAATTTTGTCTTAAGATTTTCTCACACTTGTTACTTGTTGATGTTTATAAGAAGAGCCCCCTGTTGGGTCAATCTGTAACTCGGAACAAATTGGTACTGGCAGTAGAGACCTCTAGAGTATTGAATTACACCAGATCTGGACAGTGTGTTGGGAAGATCATCTGGATTGGCTGTTTCTATGAGCTCCAGGTCAATGTGCTGTGTTTGCTGGTGTTGTTTTGAGAGGTCTAGCGTGGGTGGCATATAATGTCTTTTACAGGGATCACGGTTGAATCTTTGGTCCTTGTTAATTGCATTGCCAATATGAATCTGAAACCAATATAGGGTTTCCCCTACTAGAAGTGTTTGTTTGTATGAGATGTTTATCAGGTTTGGAAATTGAAGGTCAAGGTCTGTGGACAGAAATAGAAAATAGGTTTTCGGTCAGTTACAGAATCACACTAACACTGACCAAAC